CCGCCACGGCGATCGCCTCCGAATCCACCGCCGCCGCCACCGAAACGATTACCGCCTCCGCGGTCATCGCGACGCTTCTCGATGCGACCGTTCCTCACGCCATGGTAGTCACCGCCGCCGCCTCCGAAGCGATTGCCACCGCCGCCGCCGCCTCCTCCGCGCCGGTCATCTCCGCCTCGATCGCCTCCGCGACCGCCACGCCCACTGTGACCAAAGTCGCGATCGTGTGGTGCCCTGGAAATCAAAAGAAAAATAGCCAATTAATATTTAATACATTATTATGTGAGCTTTGTGGAAAAGGAATGCTCAAGAAAAGAACTCTCACATCTTTATCACATTGCAGCTTAGTTTATCATGACGGTAGATACTTGAAATTAAATGTTTTTTCTTACATCAAAAACTTTAATTGGGCCTAGTTTTTAGGGTAAAGTTTCAAAGTAAATAAAGTAGAATTTAAACAGTAATTTTTTTAGACTTGAATAGCTTTAGACATTGTTTTTAAAAGTTAACTAATTAACACATCATTAAATACCCCTAGTATCTCGGTTCGTCTTCCATTCCCATTCCCATTTAAGCAATTCGACTTGTTGTATGGTAAAATGTGCGGAAATCGTAATTGTTTCAGTTTAAGCAAAAAAAAAAAAAAGCTTAGCTGTGCGTCTTGTGATCAAAGGGTTTAATTCTCTGTCCAGCAAAATTATTTCCACGTTTCGTTTGTCCATTTATGCTTTGTTTGCATCAACGCAAGTTAACTTGTTGTCAACTATCAATGAATTTTGTTTACTGACTTTTAGTTTATATTGCTTGTTTGTACTGACAAAAGGCGAACCAGTTTATTTTCAAACTGAATTTAAGGTTTAAGCTATTTAACTAAAACAAGTAAAAAAGAATATTTGATGTTACCGCATTCAACTGAATATTATTTATCGTAAGAGACTTTTGTGGGTTGTGGCTGTATATTTCATCTGCTTTACGATGTACATTTGTTTAATCAATTCCCTCTTATCTTCCATCTAGAATTATTTTGTGCTGCGCACTTTAGCCAAAAACGTTTTGGTATCAATTCGAAAAAGAAGGTTGTCTCTGCAATGAATTTTTTGTGGACACAAACAACCTTCAACAGTTTAACAATGTTTAACTGGCTTCTTATTTTTCGGCTCGGCCTCGACAGCTGCATTTTCTTTTCTTAAGTATTTCTTTGGCAGAAAATTGGGGAAAAAGAAACGAGTGACTTGGTGGCTTACTTTGCTCGCATGCTGCCGTTAGCTTAGACGTCTGCTAGTTGGGACTTGGATTTCAACTGCGAAGGGTCGACTTGGAAGGTAACTCTTTGCCTTTCGATTTCTTTCGACGCTGCTAAACAGCTGACATGGAGTTGTGCTACAACCGCAATAAACTTAAATAAAACTAATTGCGTGTTAGGGAAATTAAATAAATTTCGAATAATGCAAACAGTAAGGCAAATTTGATTGACAACAACATGCAATTTGAGCAGGTTTACTGTTACACCCCATCCAACCCTCTTTTCCACCCCAATTTACATTTACCTGCACTAAACTGCTCAACTAAACAACTAAACCACCCCGCGTACAAAGCCCTGTGTTTATTGCTCTGGCATTAATCAACTTGAGGCAGTATTGTCAGCTTGGCTAGTTTCTAGTCAGATCTGGTCACAGTCCAACAAAACATTATACCGGCCCATAACAATTATTTAAGGAGCTATTTGGCTTTTAAATAGTAAACAACTAATTTAGATGAATCACAAAGAATATAGAATATATATTTTCAAGATTTAGTTCGATCTCAATTTCCTCAAATTAACCTAAATCATAGATAATTAAATTTTTAAGAACCCAAAATATTATACTTTCCAAGACTTAACTTTACTTTTTGGAGATGAAAATATATTTCAATATTACAAATGAGTTGAGTCACATTTTTCTAGAATTCAAATCATATAATTCTTGAATCAATTAGTATACTTTTCAATTTATTGTTATACGTCCTAGCTAGATTCTTGCGATCTTAAGTTGCCAACACTTTGGGCTCTCTATGCAAATCCAACCCTCTCGATCCAATCCCCCATTTTTGCTTGTCTATTGCTCTGTCAATTTGGAACCCCATACCGCCCCAAATGTCTATTTGTAGGACCCGGTGGCACGCTAGCATTTGTGCCCAACTAGCGGAGCGGAACACTCTGAACATTTATGAGACAGCCAAATGTCTTATCCCTAGTTTCGAGGGGGCAATCACCCGACGGGGGGAGGGGGCTGGGAAAATCCCAGGGGGCACCTCTGCCTGACTTTCTGTGTGTCTACCTGTCGCTTTTTGACATGCGAAAAGACGAATCGCGAGCTCGCCAAAAGGGGGGGGAAACTCCTCATCATAATCAATTGGCGTCATTTGACATTTTAGACTAATGGGGCCGTTTATGCAATGGGTCAAATTCACGAACTGGGTTACTATTACAATTCAATATTAAAGACAGGGCCCGGTTTCCTCCTCAGGTTAAGCAAAATAAGACGGCTTACAAATGAAATTTTAGTTTTAATAAAGGTTTTAAAAATGTATCATACATGAATTTGGTACCTAGGATTATAATGTTCTTACAATTTGATAACAAGCCAATACAATTAGTTTGCGTTCGTCTTATTTATTTTAAAAAGTTTTAAAAGAAAATTTTAAAAAGGTTAATTTTGCACGTGTTTGGAATTTTAAAAACGCTAACAAGTTTTGTATTATTTTTATAAACAATGAACGCCTTATGTTATTTTCTATACAAAATGCTTTTCGTAAAATATGTTGAATACAAATAGCAGAAGAGAAACGTACTAATTCTATAAATAAAGGTGTAAATAAAGTGGTAAAAAATAAAAGAGACGTTAAGAAAATTGGACCCCCTTCTACACAGCAATTCTTCGTTGTTGTTGTTTTGCTTTTTCTGTTCTTCTTTTGCTCAAATAAGTAAATAAATATAATAATTAATATTTGATGTTGGTAGAACCATAACATAAAAATAAATAGAACCCAAATAATAAATAGATTCAGGCATACATATAGAGGTCATTAAAACCAAGCAAAACATAGAATTTTATAATTTAGCTCCCCGAAATTAAACATTTATTGCCCTTTAATTTGATACGAATAAGTTAAGTTCGGTAAAAGCACCATAAACATCGCGATATCTCTACAAGAACCTCGTGTGAGCAAATGAAGAACACGAGAGAGAGGCATGCTGGTGTGTGAGCGGGACGGCGCTAGACAGTGACGGCCGCCGTCTGTTATACATACACGAAACTGTTCTACAAGCACGCGAAAAATGCCGCCGTCAACAGGCATACACACACATAGATACAAACATTTGTATGTATATTTGCGGCTGTATGTGTGCGCGTGTTCGAGGCATACAGACAAATTAAAACGCTATAAAAAAGCAAACGAAGCAAGAACACGTTTCACAAATCAGGCAAATTCTTTTTATGACGTGCGCTGTCGTTCTTGTTGCTTTTTCTATTCCTTTGCGGATGTGGGGGATAAACAAAAAAAAACCTCGAACTGTCAAAATTTAGCAAACCATGTGTTTTTCCCCACTCTCTCTCTCTCTACCCGTTTCCTCGCCTTCTCTTCATTCGCTTCCACTAATTACTCATCACCTCTCACTCGCGTTTGTAGGTGTAGAGAAAAAAAAAAATACACGAAGGGCGATAAAATGGCGACAGCGGAAAAAACCAAACGCGTTTCATAAGTAATACTAATACTTACATTATTCCTTCAATCTTGATTTCCTCTTTATTCTCGTCTGGATCGGTAAAAAGCGACTTTCTTCTCGTCCGCTGCCCTGCTGTCGGGAAAGAATCTGTAGAGTCGTCTAGGTTCGAACTTTCTCGAAAGGCCCGCTGCGACTGGAGACTACTGTGTGAAAGTAGTGCTGGCTCTAGTAGTATCTCCCGATTCCTGCGACTCCCGTGGAACTGTTGTCGGTGTTCGTGGCAGAGCGAAGAAGGAGCGAAAGTGCCGCTGCTGGCGGAGGAGAAAAGAAAATGGCGACGTTGAGTTACACATTTCTCAGAATCAGCGCCTGGGGAAATCAATAGCAAGTTGCCCCAGCCGCAGCCGGCGGCCTGAGGCGTGGCGCCGCCCGTCCGGCGGGCCATATATTGCACAAGTTTGAGCATATTTCACACGGCTTAGCCTAAGTGCACTCTTCGGTTATGCCAATTTTTTCACAGCTGCGCGACATCCGCGCGTGTCTTACCTAACCTCGTCGAAATTTGAAGTGATAGAGACGAGAGTGTGTCGATGCCCTCATCGATATTACCGGTGTCATCGTTTTTTCAATGGATTTTTTTCAATCGATATGTTAACAGTCTAGGTTCTTTCATCTCTAACGATATTTATCACTCGATATTTGTACTCTGTTAATTTTTGACTGCACTTTTTGCACACTTAGCCTGGTTCCTCACCATATCATGCACAGCCTCTGTTAAAGATCTTAGTCTCTGCTAAATTGCACTCGAACAATTTCAAATATGCATTACGTGGCGACATTTGTTAAGTGTACAATGTCCGCATTGTTATTTATTCATTCCATGTTTTAAATTAATTTACATATTTTAACTTAGAACCAATATTTTTATGTAAAGCGTAAGTGAAATAGAAGAAGTGATAAGAGTTTTCAATATTTTTCGTGTTCGTTCTGTTGAGTTGAATCTGTTAACTGTTATCGATTACACTGAATTTTAAGCAAGTGCTGTAGTTGGATTGGTTCGAGTCCACACTACCGGAGGGAGGGTGTATCCACTAGAGAATTCAATAGAATTCTGTGAACAAACAAATTATAATGATTTTGTGCAGTGCAGTATCTTTATTAGTGATCATGATGAATTCTACAATAATATGTGTTTATTTATCCGAAATGTCTTTAATATGAGGTATGTACTGCATTGACCATTAAAAGGGTGTAATAATGTGAACTTTAATCATATCGTAGCCAACCTAAGTTAGTTGCAGCACCCACAATTCAGTTTTTAATATACATATGTACATATGTATGTAGCTCACACATAACATTCAAGTCTACAAATAAGTTTATTAAATAACAAATCAATGTGATTTATAAAGGTCTCTGAGCCAGCTTCCCGTTCACAAACCAAGCAGATGGCAGAAACTGCGATACATTTTGGCCCGACGACCTTGAAGGCATCCGTACAGCTCGTTGATCTTGAGGCAGTCGATCTTGCTGATGGTCTTCCGCTGGCCGATCCTAACTCCAGGCTGCAAGGGGGTCATGGTGGGCTTCTCGCCCTTCCGCTTGCTGAAGTAGAACTCGCCGTAGTGCATCACCGAATTGTAGTCGTAGTCGAAGGCGTACTTCCCCTTTTTCTTGGAGACCAGCTTGAAGTTCTTCCTGAATCGCGGCACAATGTTGTCCCAGTGGATCTTCACAAAGTTATCGCGATCGGCCCGCGACTGTTCGTGGTATATGCCAATGGCGTGCATCAGTTCGTGCATCACTCTCCCCTCGCTGCTGAAGCAATGGGCACTATTGTCATCCGGTCTTTGCAGGGACACCACCTGCTCACCCCCCCGCCTGCCCACATAGGACCAGCATCCCTGGGGCCCATCCACCGGTGGCTCGATCAACAGGTAGTCCTCCACCTCGCCATCGTAGGGCACAAACCGCACGCAGGTCAGGGAATTGAAGGTCTTCACCGCCTGCACTATCGCCTGCCTTTCCGGATTCGCGTAGCGAGGACTGATCTCAAAGGGAATCGTTCCGTTGGGCCAAAGTCGCTTGGGATGCCGCATTGGGTTAACACCCAGCCGGAGAGTGATGTAGGTGTACGGATCAATGGCAATGTCTCCTTGGAACAGACGGGGCATTGTCTCCGGATCGTCGATGCCCAAGTCATCGTCACCAATGTCGGGACCAAACGGATCGTATTCATCTGTGAGAGAGAGGAGATCAGATTAAGGATTATAAGGTTGGTTAATATATATATATATATAACTAAGAAAATTAATGCTTAAATAAGTGTGGAAAGTATGGACTTATAAATATATAACACTTTCAAAAACATTTTGCAACATTCTTTACATTGTTGAATTGCAAATTGATATAAAAGACTTTTTACAATATACATGTATTGATACTAAATAACTTTACACATATTAGGTATTGATTGCTATCAACATGTACAAAGAAATAATTTGTTTAAAAAGTATATTTTAAGGATCCCAAAATAATTAGGGGCTTATATACAGATTTTTAAAAAAAAAAGATATTTGGTGATTTTTTGAAGTTAAAAGTCGTTTCAGAGTGCTTGAAAGTGCAACAATAACCATTATAAACAATTTAAGGGTAAAAAATCCAATTTGTTTTTCTTGAAAAACCGCCATCTTGTCAAAAATTGTATTTTGACATTTAGTTCTACGATTTAACATTACTTAAATAACATATGTTTGGTTTTTTAAATTCGGATGATCCAGATCAGAGGTAGAGTGTTTTTTTTGAGGCGAGCTCCCGGAGATTAGCTGTAGCTCCTTGCCAAATAAATGTTATTACTTATACTAAATCTTAAAATACAGTTAAAGAATACCATAATATGTAAACCACTTTTAAAACCAATAAAATGTATAAGTATTCTCGGAACAAATTCTTGAAAATGCTCTTTTTTACGGCCTTTTAACTGTATATAAGCCCTTAAAACATACAATTGGTAATGTGAATGGAATAAAGTAATTTGTGTAAATATTAAAATGTAAACAATTTATTTCGGCCTTAAGCAATTTAAGTTGAACGATTTATAAAAGCATTTGGGAAAAACAGGGAGTGGAACGCACCTGCCGCCACGCTGGTGAACTCGTGCTCGAAGAAATCCACTCCAGCGGGATACTGGCGCTTCGGGAGCTTGGCACTTTCACTGGCCGGTGGTGCCGATAGCACCACTAGCACCACCAACAGCCCAACCACCTGCACCACCGCCGATCCACTCAAGTGGGCACACATTATAGAGCTGCGATTTGTAATTGCTGTATTACAATATTTCCATTCGATCGCTGTTTGCTCACTGTATCCACGCCATGCCGCATTCAAACCGACCGGCTGCACACGAAATTGGTAACTAAACCTGGCTCGAAAGCCCAACAGCCCAAGAGCCCAAGAGCCACCGACAGTCTGCAGTCCGCAGTCCGCAGTCCGCAGTCCGCCGGCCAGATTGTCAGCTTTAATTTATGCAAAATGTGCGAAAATAAAAGCTAAATAATGCTGATTGTTGGGCAGACGCCACGCAATCGGCTGCGTGTAAACAAAACCTAAATCTATTGGCTGCCTTGCACCTCCACATCCACCTTACACTTCCCTCTCACTTTTACACCTCCGACTGGCTCTCTGATTAAACTCAGTTTAATCTCCCTGGGCCTCTGGACTCTCTGATCAAACTTGGCCGAAACTCTCCGATTAAACTCGGCTTAAACTTGACTGGACGCTCACGTAATTTAAACCGAGTTAGCGGCTTTAAGCAACGACTCTGAATGATTTTTGTTGTGGCCTACTGCAAATGGAATTCCCTTCTTGTGCAAATACAATAGTTTAGCTTTGTGAGGCGTTTATTTTATAATAAATAATTCAAAAATAAAATTAGATTTGTTTAGTAAAAATTATAATTATAATAAAATAATATATATATTTTTTTGGCAACAAAAATGTATAAAATTGGTTTTACCACAAAAATTGTTTTTCCATTATGTATATTCCTTTACTTGTAATATTTTTATTTATTTATTTATTTTATTTTATTTTGTGGCAAGTTTTTTAATGCTGCTGAACCGCTTGACACAGCTAATAAAGAATTTTCATATGTATGAAAATTATTGCAGGGTATCAACGTTTCGCTTTATTTTCTTAACTTACTTTACGTGTTATTGTTGTCGTTGGTCAGGTTCACGATAGCGCTAAACGTTTAAATGTAATAAATTTCGCAAATTGATTTCAACGTGGAAATCGTTTTGTTTTTACCAAATGCAGGCCCAACACGAAGCATTTCAAAAAAGTGGCAGTCGGCTAACTTTTCCACTTTAATAAGCTTAAGGCAAACAATACGTATTTTTATATTCCGATTTAAAAAATATCAATTGAAAAATAGTAAATTTAAACGCGTTCAAGCTGCATAACCAACAAGTTAAAATGTTTCTTTATTTAAGGGCACACAACAAATATGATTTATTTATTTACTTAATTTAAATTTTACTCAAAACCCAACTAGTTTTTCACGTGCAGACTCTTCCACTGTCTTACTGACTGTCTGCCAGTCCGTCTGGTTTTCAATTTGTTTGTTTGCCAAGCTGCCTGTCTGTTTGCCGGACGGTTTTGATATGTGACACCTTGGACTGGAATATCGGGTTGCACTTTACACTTTGCACTTTCTTGGGCCTCCAATTAGTCAGTTGGCAGCTTAAACTGTTAACCCGGAATACCTTATCTCCATCTGGGCGTGGCTTATTTGAAAATCCACTTTAATCGGTCATCATTAATTAGGCGAAATTAGTTTTCCGTTTTAATTAGCATAACAGCAACAGCACGAGAATCTGGCTCAAGCACATTTCATCGCGATAGCCGAAATGAATTAGTTGCATTTGTGGCAAATTAAGTTTTGATTTTGAAATGGGCGGGTTAATCGTGGGCTTTGGGTTAAGATGGTAAGTTGATGGCAGCATGCGAGCCACAGAATTAACTTACTTATCGCGATCGTAAGAGGTACATGTATTGGCCATATTTTTTAGCTCGGAATAGTTAATATTTTAAATCATAACTATCTTTAAGTACACTAACTTTCACATTAAATTAAATATTATCGGTACAGATTTAGGACCCGAGGTGTTTTGTTTAAATCAAAGTGTGTTACACTTTAATTTTTATTTTTATGTAAGGAAAAATTTAGATTTAAAATAAAAATTTTTAAACATACAATTTTTCTATTTTATACCTATGTTAATTATTACACTACCATGGTTTAAGTTTATCTTAAGTAAGTTTTTATTTTGAAAAAAAAATGTTTAGTTCAAACATTTTAATATTTAATTTTACTAAGCCGTTTTTCTCTGGGTGTTATAATTTAAATGATAACTACCTGTTAAGCTGATCTAAGCAATTTCTTTCTAAAACCATAACATGATAAGTATTTGCCAATGCTAAAAATGATTTTTATTGAAAAAGTGCAATAAATGGGGATTTAATATTTCTACCAGAATACCTCCTTTAGCAAGATGACAATGTTAGAAATGGTGAAAATATTCCTTTTCACAAAATTCAAACTGGCTTACGTGTCGAATGAGTAATTTTTATGAAGACTGAGACTTTTGCGCTACGCCTAGAACATAAAATATCATTTTTTGGTTTTGGAATACATTTTTGTGCACCATAATCTACTATATTCACTGGTGAGAATTCTATATTTTTTCGGACCACTCTAAGGTACAAACGTGATAAAACGAAATGAACTCTATGTGCAATACCAAAATACGTTTTGGCCAAATGTTTGTTTATCCTTAAAAATAAACATTTAAAAGATAAGACTAAATTAACACTTATTTGGATCTAGTTTAAGCTTAATTTAATTTATACTCGAGATGTTGGTTAATTTAGAATACGGTTTTGGATATAATCCGTTGAATTATTTTTACGTTTTCTCATTTTTTTGTTTTAAAAGAATTGACAAATATTAAAAATGACCATCATTTTTTCAATGCCTAAATTATTTTCTATTTTTACCGATTTTTTCAGACTGATTGTCAATATGGATTGTAATTGCCAATTTTTTTTGGTTTTGAATAATAAATTTATCCTTCGACCCCACCCCACTTTAACCCACATTCACCCAACTCGGCCCACTTTAACCCATTGAGAAGTCCACTGCTGAGATGGCCTGTCTTCGATTGAGTTCACCACTTGACTTTATGTGTCAGCTGGGCAATAAAAATGCGACACCGAGTAATTTTGCGCCACATAGGGCCAAAAAGAAAGAGACGGGGACAAGAGGGCAGAGAGAGAGAGAGATGGGGAGTGACAGGCATCAAAGGCAAAACACAAACAATCGAAACCGAACGAATCCAAAGCCAAAACCCAGCGACTAATTCAAAGTTGTCACGTAATAAAACACAGAAACATCGATGGCAAAAACAATAAGCCACAAAGGCGACAAACAATCAAAGAAATACAGAAAAAAAACAAAAAAAACAAAAAGCATTGGAAATTTGCATTTTTTGTTGGGCGAAGACAGACGGCAATCGATGGCGACAAGAAATTTAACAAAGTACAAATTGTTATTTGATTTGATTACGTAATGACGTCACACATACCCCATCATCTGCCTTTTGCAATTTGCCTTTGTTTCGGTTTCTGTTTCTGTTTCTGTTTCCCGTTTGGGTCCCTCAATGTTTTTGTTTTTGCTTTTGTTTTTGTTTTCGTTTCGCTTCAGTTTATTTTGACACCAAAAACTGATATCTCCAATTAGATTTCCAACTGAATTAATTGGATTGCATTAAGGCGGTTTCAGTGATTTGTGGCTGAGTTGATAGCAGCACTTCGCCCCAGACTGCATTAATCTGCATAATAGAAAGATAATAATTGCCGTTTGAAAAGCGGCTTAAATGGAAATGGATTTCTTGGACGGATTTGTGGAATATTAACAACAGATATTTGGTGGCGCATTAATTATAATGTTCGTGGAAAATAAACTTTTTTCGCCTCCCTTTGTTTTATTCTTTTGCGCTTAATAAAGCGGAAGTGCAAAACTTTTTTTTTATCAAGATTTTCACCGCACGGAAAAACTTTTAGTTCCGCTAATGTCGATTTTGAGAAACTTACTATGAATGCGTGGGGATGGGATTTTCTTCCAACTTCGTATTAAGTCTTTTCTAGGCGGTGGTGGAAAAGGTTCGGCCTAAGACGGCTTAACTATGAAATGAAGAATAAAAGCAGGACCGGAAAAACTTCAATCAACAATGATGACAACTTAATATTCAAAGTTGCAAAGCGTTGGCTTAATTTCGGAAAATAATTACGACGAAATTGTGTTTAATTTAACCCAAAATGGCGCAAATATTTATTCAAATATGATTTCAACCATTTAAATTCAATACTTAAGTTTTTGTGGAAAACCCTATGTTGTATTGTGTTAAAATTAAAATATTATGAGTAATTTTCCTTGGTGTGTTTAGAGTAAACAGATTTTTTGGCCATTATATCATATGAATATTACCATCTATTGTTCAGTATTTTATTACTTCATATTTAGTAAATCGTCAATCACATTTGCACATAGGTAAATTCTTTTAAAAAACCTGATAATTTATAATAATATTTATGTTATATTTTTGAGTTCTTTTAACACTTATAAATTTAAGATTCTTTTATTAATATTTAATCAGTTATTATGATACAATTCAAGTCCAAAGTTCAAATTTGCATCGATTTTTTAAAAAATTATTATAATAAATAGCATTTTGTATTAAAGACTTTTTTGATTTAATTTCAATAATTTCAATTGCTCTTTCAATACGCCACTTACCAAATCTATAAAGAGAGCCGTATACTTTTATAAGCACATTGCCATTTTCCATATGATTTTTCATAGTTTATATGACTCGATGGAATCTGCAACACATTTATGTGGATTTTATAGTTTACTGACATTTGATGGCACTTGAAGGACGCCATGGATTTCTGTATTTTTGTGGTGTTCACTTTGTTTCAGGAACTATCGCAAACATTGGTATGTCTCTTCAACTCCCCTTCCCTTTTTTTCTGCCAGATTCAATTCGGGAAAATAAAAAAAGAAATCGCTATCGTAGGCGTTTCCTGAAGTATGCAAATCGATTTCAACGCGGTAAACTGCGAATGCGGAGTGAATGTGATAAAAAAATAAAAGCAATAAGCAGAAAAAAATGTTTTTGATAACACATCAAAAATTCCAGGATTTGCATATTGCCAGGAAGGAGACCCAATACTGAGAGAAATCCTGTTTTAATAACTATTTTAATAGTTTTTTTGTTTCTTAATTTTAAGCGGATTTTTAAATAAAAATTTATGTTTGAAAATTTAAAATAGTCGAACTTCTGCCACTCAAACTTCCGAATTTTATACGTTTGTCTATGTTAAATTTCATTTGAAAAAACTGTATTTTTCTTAATTAAGACGAAGTTGTAAACGGCATCGGGTTTGCATAGCTCGTTTTAAAATGATGCCGTAAAAATTTTTTTGTGTGTAGCGTTAGATCTTTTATTTGCTTGCGTGGCAATTATAAATTATTCACATTGCTAAGTTTTTATCATATCAATG